TGGTGATTGATGTTGCATTTAAATTTTTGATGATTGTAGTTATCAGGGAAGCAAGAAATCAGAAGGGAGTTTCATAAGTGGGAAATGCAAAAGAAATTGTTAAGATTAGAACTGACAGTTGCATTTAGCTTAGTTCAATAGTAAAACTGTGACACCTAATTGCCAATCTAGTAGCATACTTAAATTCATGTAGTCGAGGAACCAGGGGGACAAAAGTTCAGAGCAGTTGCCATGAAAATATTTGTGGAGAAGACAGAAAGAAGCCAAGTCAGAAGTCAATAATCCTTGGTCATTACGGATCCTTTGTCAAGAATCTCAAAATGTACAGAAGAGCAACAGACCAGCAATGTATTCAATACATAGACAAATGATAGATTTATAAATGTGCAAGACATTCTGACAAGAAAAATTTACAGGTATGACACAGTGAACCAACTTTCCTTGATTTGACGTAGCAATTTATTTGATAAAGTCATTCCACTTCATGTCAGTGCAAAACATGAGGCCAAGAAGGTATAAAGCAGTGTTTCTCAACCAATGTTGCCTGGAACCCTAGAGTTCTGTAAGAGGTCATTAGGGGTTCTGTAAGAGGTCATTAGGGGTTCTGTAAGAGGTCATTAGGGGTTCTGTAAGAGGTCATTAGGGGTTCTGTAAGAGGTCATTAGGGGTTCTGCAAGAAACAGTGATGAATAAGCTAATGTATTTTTGAGTAATTTTTGTTCAATTTTATATTTGTAATTTTACTACACACGTACAGCATATTGTTGGAAAGTCCTTGGTTATTATCATAAAGGCTTCAACATTATTTAAAATTATAATTAATTACATGGGATGTATTTAGTGCTGTCTGTATGGTGTTAGAGTGAAACCACCTTCACTGGTTAGTGGACAGAAGTTGTATGTGGCGGATTGAGTAACTGACTCGAGTACAGGCTGCATGCATGGTGTCTATAAGTTATGTTTACCAGGTAAACCACAATAAAAATGTAAGAGATAGATATTAAAATGGTATATAAAAATATTTATGCAGGGCTTCCTTGAGGCATGAAAACTATTTCAAGGTTTTGCAAGGGTATAAAAGGTTGAGAAATGTTGGTATAGAGAGTTGTTCTAGAATTCAGCATCAACCATGCAGAAACGGGTCTCTATTGGTATTAAATGAAAATAGATTCTTTAACTCACTTATTATCCAAAATTTAAAAAAAAACAAAAAAAAATAAAATTTATCTTCAAATCTTTTATTTCAGGGTTCCCAGATCTTTGAGGCCATTGGTTATTGTTTTGTAGGGACTGCCTCAAAAATTAAAGGGATAACATTCAAAGTCCTTGCTCAAAATATTAAGCTATATAAAATCTATTTTGTTCACATGAACTCTTTTCTTCATAATTTACACAAAGCCTGTCTAATGTATGAAAGGATACAACATCATCAAAATGTAAGACACACCCTCATCATATATGCATCATTTCTTCTGGGATAGAGAGCAGGTTCATTCAGTACAAACTTTGTTATGCACCAGTGTATAATTTGTATTGGATCGTACCAAGTCAAACCTTCACAGCAAGAACATGTAGCAAACCATCCATATTCCTTCTATATTTCATTGTTGAGAAGTAAGTTTCACTTGAGCAGCGTCTTACCATGAAATCACTGCTCTGTAGAACTGACTGCCAACAGGATGTTTCCTCAATCACTATAATCTTAACCTGTTCAAGGCTAGGTTTAGATGTTATCTTCCACTCCTATACATACAAAATGGCCTCCTAACGTAATCTTTTACCTCGAGTGGCCTTCAGGCCTTGTAAAGGGTGAATGTTGTTGTAAAAAAAAATAAAAAATACAAATATAAAACAATTATACATTATTTTCAATCTATAGTCCTTTTTTTCAAAGACAACACATTGCAAATCTGTTGCTAGTCTATTGCTATTTCCATGGCAAATACTTAGACAAGGTTTAATTTTTTAGTTTCACCAATTCAGACCTATATATCATCCACAGAGACAGTTTTGCTATATTTTGCTCCTCAGTGTGGCTAGACATCTTATTGCTTCAAGCTGGGGTTGAACTCGACCGATTTGACATGTCAGAGACCCTTGCCCCTAGGCTATCAGCACATGGCAGAGAAAAGGAATTTTTTTATGCATTATATGTGGGATATATAAATGTCATATCAGTCGCCATAGTGCTCAATTCTTACAAAGAGCGATGGATTTAAAGCAGCAACAGCTGCTGTTAAAAATCCCCCCCCCCAGTGCTCAATCACTGAATGTGAGCATAGTGTGTGTGTATATAAGAAAAATATACAGAAAACAAACAAAAATCCTAATATGCAATTATGCTGTTTTAATGTTAATATAATGTCAACATAGGATTTTTGCTTGTTTTTCCGTATATTTTTCTTCATACTGTCAGCTCTATATCCATATATTTGCTTATATATTATATATATATATATATATATATATAAAATTGTGTGTAATTCATGTGTGTATCATAATTCTATGCAAGAATCAATAATGTATGTGGGCATCTAGTGGGTGTTTTTATTTGGATCTGGTAAAAGTCCATGTTGTTGATTGTGGAAAGTTTTGTGGGAGTAAAAAAAAAAAAAAATTAGGGTTACACTGGTCATGATTGTAGGTTATTGGCATAGATCAACAGCAGTGGAATTTTTAATCTGTTCTGGGAGTGGAGAATAAATTGCCAGTAAGATAATTAAAAAAGAATAAATCTAGTTTAACAGTTATTTAATTTTTTACTTTAATTTTATGTGGTAAAAAAAACAAACTCATCATTGTTGTGATGTATACAAATAAAAACACAGAACAATTTGTGGTATATATTGAGGCGATTGTATTAAGAGGTTTTTTTTATATAAGCTTACACATTTTTGCAATCAAATTCTATTTATTACAAAAACAATTCTAGACACAAACATAAAAAAGGTGACCTTTTGTGTGGTTGGTTACAATAAATATTTTACAATCACAATAAAAATAGTAAAAAAAAAAATAAAAAAATAATGTCTTTTTTGAATCTGTACTGTATTTATTCGAGAAAGATATTAGAATAATCCAAGACTTATACTGGGAGCAAACTGCCTGCATATGGATAGAAAATTATTTCAAATACACAAAAATAGTAAGGGATCAGATTTATTCAATCTTCATAGTGAGAAGATCCAGAGAAAAATAGAAGTCCTACTAGGATTTATAGAAAAAAAAAAAAAATAGATGTCCTACTAGGATTTATAGAAAAAAAAATAGATGTCCTACTAGAATTTATAGAAAAAAAAAAAAATAGATGTCCTACTAGGATTTATAGAAAAAAAAATAGATGTCCTACTAGGATTTATAGAAAAAAAATAGATGTGTTACTAGGATTTATAGAAAAAAAATAAGTGTATTACTAGGATTTATAGAAAAAAAAAAATACACGTCCTACGAGGATTTATAGAAAAAAAAAAATACACGTCCTACGAGGATGATACAATCATAGCAACTTAAGATATGTATATGACACACTGTCGATAGCAGACATGGGAAGGAAACAGCAGGAATTGCTACAGGTAGTAGTAAAGGAGAATGAGAAGAAAAACATTAATAGTAAAAAGACAGAATGAATGGTTGTCAGCAAGAAGAATAAACTAAAATGTGAGCTGCAAATTGGAAATATAAAAATTAAGTACAAAAATTTCAATATTTGGAAAATGTTTTAACAGGAGACAGAAAATGTAAGCCTGAAATCTGAAGGCACAAGATACCTTCCAAAGCTAGACAAATTATTAAGAAATAGAAAATTTCATGGGGAAACAAACAAATAAATGCTAAACTGTTATGTAATGAAAGTCCTCCTATAAGGCTGTGAATGGACAATTCCCTCACAAATGAAGAGACTTGAGGCAACAGAAATGTGGTTCTACAGAAGGATGCTGAGAATACCACAGACTGAACATGTGTGTAATGAGGAAGTTTTAAGGAAAATGGAAACAAAATGGACAGTTATACTTAACTTCAGAAAAAGATTTGAAATTTCTAGGTAATATGAGGAAAATGGATTGGAGAATTTGACACATAGGATATATTGAAGGCAATAGGGACAGATCTTGTGTAAATGGATAGCAGAATGGGGATTGGGAGAGATCATGAAAAGGCAAACATTATTAAGAGTGACAGAAGATAAGTCGTGAAGAGCCATGATTGGCCACATATTGAAGGAGCATGGCACATAGAAAATTGTCTTACCAATGTAAGAATACAGAAGGCACTTATCTCCCTTTGGTGGAGATAAGTCACATCACAGCTGCTTAGTGATATCATGACATACAGTGACTAAAGCAGCAGCCAAATTCAGTTTGTTTTCAGCAGCTAAACCATAAGATTGTTTTCTTTAGCCCAGGTTCCCCATGACTCAGGCAGAGGCAAAATCTATCTCCCCAGTAATTTACAAGTCCATTGTGCACTTTCCTTATGGGAATATATCTTTCCTGGATATAGAAAGAAACTAGGCCGCAGTCCTTAATTTGGGAAACCCTAGTTGTTTCCTATTGGTGGAATATGTCCTCACCTCGGACATAGATGAATCTAACCTGTTAGAATCTGGATTTATAAACATGGCTTCTTCAGACACAGGAATATCTCCATATTATATGTAAGATCCTTTTTGTTTCTCCTTACACTCTACTTTGCTGTGTAGATACATTTGATATATTATTTTCCATGTGGGATATGTGTATATATAGTTTTGTGTATATCTTAGTGATATAAAAATCTCTCTGAAACAAAGTATGTTTGTCATTCCTTTTTCTTTCAGCCATTCCATTTTGTCTGAAAAATGGCATTATTATATCATGGATATAATAATGACCATAACAAAGGGAATACAAATGAGAGAATAAATCTTTAGCATAGAATTATAAGAAATAGAAATTAATGAGGTGTTATGACAGGTGATGCCCAGAAGAGATACAGAACATGAAAGAGGAGGTATGTCTTACCTGTTGCAAAACGTTTTACAATGTCGGCAGCACTTTCTACTTCATCCAGAGTGAGAACAGGATCAGTTCCATATTTTAATACCAACTGACCACGAAGAGTGCATCGGCGTGTTGTGTTCCAGGCTGAATCGGAGAAGATCTTGAAGGAATTTTTGTTGTTGTTTTTGGAAGAATGCTGTCATTTTCAAAAGAGTGGAGGGGTAAACTTTATTTTTTTTCATATCTGCAAATTGTGCAAAAATTAAGACACAAAACAAAACAAAACACTTTGCAAAGAAGCAAGAAAGAATTTATATTTCCATTTTAATCTACAGTAAAAAAAAAATAATTCCTTAAAATAATTTCTGAGTTTCATGAATTTGCAATACTTTTTGAAATACAAAAAAAGTTAAATTATTGTAAAAATATTAAACAAATTTTAGCTTCAGAAATAAACACAAACATATAAATTAATATTTTAAAAAGAGTCTACACTGATGAATTTGGTCTATAATTATGTTGACAATAACAAAGATACAAAAATAAGATTCAGTTGTTTGTAAAGGAGTTAAACTGATAATGCTTTGATATTATCCCGATTAAGATGGACTAGATTTTGAATAAAATCAATGCTTTTTTAGATAAAACATTTTCATTATGATTTAAATCCTAGTTTTACTCCATCTTGTGTTCAAGATGGAAGCATTTTCATTGCTATAATTTTATTGCTACTTTTTACTCCATCATATTTTGCTGAAGAAAAGCTTTTTTAAATTTCCTTCTCTCAATTACATGTTGAATAATGCTATATCATCCTTGTCTATAGATAATTGGCATTATTTTGTTTATAAATTTATTTTCTTTTGAGAATTGTATAAACATTTTAAATAAATTGTTTTCTGAAATTTTGGAAAGAATGTTAAATGAGGTTTGAAAATTTGAAAAGCAATTATTCATAATATACAATTTCTTTTAATTTCTGAAGTATTGGATGATGTTAAGTGATGTTCTTACCTGAAGAGCTGCAATTGTCTCTGGGTCATTCATATGTTTCTCACCACCATCTCTCCAGTGATAGAGACCTGGGTTGTTCATGATGTATCTGTCTACTTGTTCCACTTTGTAAGCATTAAAATGACGCATCAGGCCCTAAAAAACAATGTAAGAGAATACAGAACTTATATAAACAAAAATTTAACTATTTTTAATTCAATAATGGCATTAAAAATTGAAGCCAGAGTTTTTGAGACATCTGATTTTAAATAAAATAGCTTTGGATGGTAATAGTTATTCTTTCTTCAGAGCAAAGAGGATGCGAGATTACCTCACTTGTTTGCTAACAAACTTCTAATAACCATTAGTTGGAATTACCAAAAACAGTACACAAGTATATAAAGGGTATAAAGTCTCTCAATATTTTCTCTTTTAGCCACAAGATGTCTTAGAAATAGGATATGTCTAGTCTCTCTCTTGGGCGTCTTCTTAGTCCCAAGTGAACCATATGTCGCATTGAACACAACACAGCATACAAATGCTTTGAGCCTACTTGATGATATACAGGCATATCTAATAAGTTTCTACACACACAACACTTCATTTGCTCCTTTTGTATACTTTCTATTTAGTTTGTGGAAATAACTCCCAAGAGGCTGCTTCTCCAGTCACTACAATCTTAACCTGTTTAAGTCTTGAGTTAACCATTAACACATATCTAAATATAAATTGTGCCTAGAGTTTAGGGTGTTGTTTATTGCAAAACAAATATTGTAGTGTTCTTGTAATAAACAACACCCTGATGATGACATTGTGCTATGTCGAAAGTACCCAGAATAAATAATAGGTATCAACATCACACACTGGTGTAATGGATAGCAGCTCGGATTGAGGAATTGGAAAGCCAAGTTTGAATTCTAGTCGAATCCATTACTTTCATTTATGTGCTAATACCCTTGGGAAAAGGTATGAATCCTCTTCTCCCGCTAGCTATAGGTAAAGAGTAGGACAGACTGGGTTCCCTTGGATGGCAACTGGTCTATCACAGAAAGAAATGGCAATCTACTGCGGGAAAATAATCAGCCTCGTCAGTCATGTATCAAAAGATACATGATTGCCAAAGCATGTATCATGCATGGCACATAACTGATTGATCAATATGGCGATTTTCTCTCGTCCTTCAATAACATCCAAAAACTTGTCTGTGAATATGAAAGGATCCAATTGAAAATAAGTAGACAAAACTATTCAATAAAATATCTCAATGAAAACATGTTGCCAAAGTATACACACACACACACATTATATATATATATATATATACACACACACACAAAAAGGAAAACATTTTATTAATTCCTTTTGTCCACTGATGGTCTTTAGCAAGGCAAATGTAAGGATATTTTGTGACATGTATTTATAAAACAGAAGTAAAAATATTGTCAGGTTTTCAAACTTTTTCAGTTTAATAATGATAAAAAATATTCTTAGGACTGTAAAAATCAAGGTAAGCTATGGAGGATGCTAAGTGATGTAATTTAATGCCTAATAAACAAAAGTTAGTAAATGTTGTTGAATATTTTTTTGTTTTGTTTCTATATATTTATTTTTTATTGTAATTATTATTTTAATCTGATAAATTTATTCATATATTTATTTTAGATAGTAAAAGGTTTTGACTTAACTGATTTCTTTTAATTTAAAAAAAAAATGATGGTCATGTATGTTAACATGGGAAAGGAGTATTTCTTTTAGTAAAGGAGATATTTGAAAAAAATTCAGGGTGCAAGTGACTTATTTTCTCTTAAGTATGGCATGCTTCAGATTGAAGTTGAACTTATTTCTGTGTATGATTAATGCATTTGATAAACTTATGTATAAGATTCTTTTCATAGATACGTTTTTTTTTTTAATTTCTGCAAGTTTCTCCAATATATTGTGAGGAACAGTTGTGACAGTTTATTTTATATATATCAACTTCAGGATTATTATTGTTATGAACATTTTAATTGTAGTTACTTTGATATTGCTATGGTTGGAGATATATATATATATATATATATACAAGATTCTTATTTGTTTGCATGTTTAGTTAAAACCATAACAGTTTTGATATGTGCTCAGGAACTAAAATGAAGTTCAAGTACAGGTAATGAAATATAAAAATCATAATTTCCCCTGGATTTCATTAACCTATTAACTGCCAGAGGTCAATTGTGAAATCTGACTTCAAATGCCAACTTTATAATACCCAACATAGGGAATAAAAATGTAAAAATTGATTTATATATTAAACTGAGGTTTTAACATTTCTTTCATATTACTGTACAATTTGTAAAGTATCTGACTGGTGATCAGCTGTCAAATAATGCAAAACGTTCAAAAATGGATGGTGGAACATAGCATTATTTAGACAATATACTATAATAACTATTTGACTTGTTGGCTATTGTGGCATGTGGGGGGGTCCTTACTTGGCATGATTCAGCAGTAGCAGCAATGGAAGTAATCAGCAGGGTACAACTGGAAGTCCCAGAAGTCAGAAAAGCCCTGACTGAGCCCAATTTGGCCACTTTTACTTCTCAGCAACCTCTACCTTCATGACCAGCTGGAAGGGCTACTCACAATCCTTGCTTCAGAAGACATGTGGCATGTCCTGGCAGCTTGACTTCAGATTTTTCATTCCTTGTAGAACAAGAGGAGAAATTTCACTTTGAGAACCTACCTAAAGATAAAAACTACACACAACACCTGTTGCAGAAAACACGTAACAGCTCTAGAAGTTTAACACTCAGATTTCTTGTTCCTCCTGAGGGAACAAGCAGAGAAATCTTTCTCTACAAAACATTTACTCAAAGGAAGAACATACTTAACTGGGGAAAACCAATTTTTTACCCCTGCAAAATGCCACTATTTTGCACTCTCTTTCAACCACAAAATAAAAGCTGCTAAGCAGTTATTTCGAGTCTTGGGTTTTTTTTCATTCCATGCTCAACGCTGAGCATGCACACAAAACCAGGAAAAATTCCTACAAAACCACCAACTTAGAAGAAAATGTCCAACCAGACCCTGCAGAGTTTGTACAAAAAAACAAAACAAAAACACAAAACAACCCCAAAACAAACAACCCCTTCCCCCCACC